GTGTTAGCCAGGACGGTCTCGATCCCCTGGCCTCGTGATCCGCCCACCTCAGCATCCCAAAGTGCTGGGATTACAGGTGTGAGCCACTGTACCCGGCCTCTAGTTCTTATATTTCAGTAGCTCAGTCTGTTGGAGAGACCTGTCTGAACAAATTAATTATAAATCAGTAGTAATTACTGTAATAAAGGCACGAATGAAATGCTATGGAAGCATAGAATAAAGAGCAACTAGTTGTTTTAGGGGTTAAAGATCGCTTCAAAAAGGTATCATTTGAAGGATGAATGAAAAATTTCCTGGGGGAGGATATTCTGAAGAGAGATGAAACCAACAGAAAATCCTATTGAAATAATAATGGCAACACAAGAAATAAAAACTCAGATGTGTTTTAAGAAAAATGTCATTTTAACAGAAACAGAATGCAGACAGGAAGTGGTTAAATACATTCAGGGAATAAGACTTGGGACTAAATGCATGTGTAAGGAAAATGATGGAGTCGGAACCACCACAGGGCCATCCCTCAGCAGACCCTGGGTCTCTCTTTTAGAAATGGGGTATCTGCACTCTTCAGATGTTAATTGGAAATGTGGTCTGGGTTTTCTCTGTGACAGGCTGTAAATCTATATTTTAGTCAGGGTTTTGCTCTTTTGGATTAATATATAATGTCCTTGAAAGCCCTTAATTTTTTTCTTCATTTTTTTCCTGAGGAAAAAGAACTCTTTTAAAGGCTACATGATAGTGCTGGATTGAGCTCATTTTAACAAAGGTCACAGCATTTTTGAGTAGTAAACACTATTACTAGATCTTTCCAGTATCTGGATGTTTGGCAGGCATGCCTCCAGCTCTGGAATAAATGACTAGAGCTTCAGGGGTGTATGACAGCTGTGGGCCTGTGAAGCCTGTGGGTATCTGGAAAGAGGCAGATGCATCCTGTTTTCCCATAACCACAGCCAAAAAGAGAATCAAGGCAAAAAGCTCCCTTTCACTTGAATCAACCAAACTACTGAGCAGGTTTAAAGCTTGTCCATTCTACCGGCTTCAATTTGGCCTTAGAAACCAAATGGGTAATAGGAGATTTATTTGAGAAGCTGCTGTCAGGAATCTAGGATTACTTTCAGTTGCAACTCAGCTACACCTGGAATCAATTCCTAGAGTAGTTCTTCCTGTCATGATAATATCAGCAATTAACATACTTGTATTTATAAGGCTTATTCTTCAGGGAGTACTCAACCCTTGGGAAAGGTCAGCTAATTAATTTCTGCAGTGTTTCAGATTAAACTGTTGCATGTTTTATGACCTTGAAGATTACAGTGATTATTAAGTCGCAAAATATTAAATCACTTTTGCAAGGACTCCCAGGAAGGAAATGATAGAAAACAGGCAAAGAACTCAGGTCTTGTACATTCTGAGAAGTGTTTCCACCACTGCCCAGGAGCAAGATCCTCAGAGGATCATCTTAACAATAATCAGTCATTAAACAAGGAGAAAAAAATTAAAGAGAGAAGCCACATTTCCAACAGAGAAATAACATGCTTCAACATTCCAAAGAAACCCTAACGATGCTCCTATGAAGTCATCTAAAATTATCCATATTTCTGGAACACGAAGATAACTTCTTAGCAGCTATGAAATTAGAGACTGGAAATTTCTTCTGTGACGTGGTATAAAGATCACTGGACCCCGATCCGTGAAGACCCAGGTTTGAATGTTGTCCCTATAATTCATTAGCTATGGTGTCCTGGGCAAGATATAGTACTTGGCATCTTGGGATAGATGAAATAAATATATTATGAAAATATGAAATATAAATTATGAAATAAATATATTAATAACTGCCTGACAGGGTACTTTTCTTTTCATCATATGAGCCAGTATCCCAGTTCCAGACACCATCATCTTGCACTTGCGCCACTGCAGTTGACTTCTAATTGGTCTCTATTCATTCTCGCTTCTCTACTGTATCTTTTCCACATAGTTGTTGAGGTTGTCTTTTAAAATAAGAATTCAGAGTGTGTCATTCTTTTGCCTAAAACCCTGGCATTCATTCATATTTAGAAAAAGACATAAATTCCTATCGTGGCCTAAGAGACCATGTGTTATCTGGGTCTTGCTCACCTATTTGGCCTCATCTCCCCACTGTTCTTATTCACTGTACTCCAGCCATATTCACCTTTCTGCCCATTGACCAGACAAACTTGCTTTACCTCTAGGCCTTCAGTAATCAGAGAGGCTCTTCCCCCAATTCTGAATGGCTGATCCTTTACTCTTTCAAATCTCAGCTCAAATATTATCTCCCTAGAGAGGTCATTCCTGACCATTGCATCTAAGTAGTGTCCTGTTATGTTCTAACCATTTTTTCCTTCATAGCAGTTATTACAATGTGAATTCATCTTGTCTAGCTAATTGACTATTTATTATCAGTTTTCCCCGACTGTTCTGTAAGCTCTTTCAGGGGCCATATCTTGTCTAATATTTTTTATATAGTTTATTCCTAGAGTTAAGAGCAATACCTGACAATCTAGCAAGTACTAGGCACTCAATGAATATTTTTTGGTTGAATAAATGTGATAATGCATATAGAAGTGTTTAGCCCACAAAATGCTTAAATTTGCTGTCTATATTTTTCCTCTTGGGGACTTTCTTTTTCTAGGATAAACTTTTCCGGGCCAATAAGAAACAATGGTAAAAATAAGTAATATTTATTGAGCTCTTAACAGATGCCAGGCAATGTTCTAAGTGCTTTTAATGAATTAACTCATTTACCAACACTTTAAGGTACGTTCTATTATTATCCTAATTATTAAGGTGAGGAAACTGAGGAACAGCGGGGACAAGTAACAGAGGAAAAAAGCCAGTAGTGGTGAAACTGGAGTTTAAACTCAGGAAATTTGGTCCCACAGCTATGATCACATCACTAGCCTACTCAAGATCCTCTTGTTAGCAAGGCATTCAAGTCTTCCAACAATCTGGTAACAATGAACCCTCCAAACCTCTTCTCTCATTAACTAATTCATTTGCACATCCATTCAACATATACTGGGAACCTGCTTTATGCCAGGCACTGCTCTAAGTCCTGGACTAAAGAGCTGAATGACCCAGTTCTTTTCCTCAGGTCTTTTTGGTGAAGGGATGAATAGAAATATGAAAATCCTTATTTTACCAATGCTATCAGCACAATCAAACCTTTTATAAATCTGAGCAGGAACTTTACTTATTTTACTACCTAAGATTTTTCTTTTATGACAAACGATGGGCTTCAATGTTTATGAAGTATCTTTCAGATACCTGATTTCTCCAAACACTGACCCAGCTTTCAGAGTAACCAGAACTTTAGTACCATCAGGGCCTCCGAGAACTTGGACTTCTCCATGCTTGATGATATACATTTCCTTGCCAATTTCTCCCTACATTTTAAATATAAAGAGGAAATGGTAGTTATTTTATTCTTGACAATTATGCTGTAAATTAAGAAATATAAACTCTTTTAGAGGAGTAAATATAAATGAAGGAAGCAAAGAACATTAGTGTGAAAGTAATTGTCTTAAGACCTAAAGTATTTACAGACATTGGTTAGACATATCATGTGAAAGGAAATGATTAGGAAGATGATACTTCTCAACATGTGAGTACTGTTTGCCTCCCTTGGATACATGAAGATATTTCAGTTAGCACATTGCTTTAGGAAGGACCCTGGGTAGAAGAAGTAATTGATTTTAAGCATGGTCAAGCCTTGCTTTGATGACCACCACTATGCTTGGTAGAAGTTGCTTGGTCTAGCCAAAGAGTATAGACTGCAGTCTTTCAAGGGTCAATTCTATTCTTCTACCCATGTCATCGAGGTCTGATTTGGGGAATTGGGGCATAGGAGATCTTTGAGTTATTATTAGTATTCCATGCTGAGATGAAGTATTAATGGAGTAGGTTGTTTTACTCAGTTCTTGCCTATCTTTGGGGACCCTTGGGACCAGGGGAATGATATTTGTTCAAGCCCTAAGAATTAAACTCCTGGAATGTTCACATAGCCACTGGTTAATGGTGTTATTCTATATTCCTGAGCCAATGTAGCAGGATGTACCAGGCTGTCAACACTATTTAATATAATCACAAAGATTTACGATGTGTACATCCTACATATTTTGAAGTCTGAATCATGTCTGGTCATGCAGCTATATGCCCCATTTAAGAACATTGGACCCAAGACTAACATGAGCTTCCCTGGGTGGAGATATTTTGCTCATGTTTCTGTGGTCCACTGGAGAGAAAAATGCATCCATGTGACCCTCACAGAAATAGGACCTAGTAAGCCTGTGTCTGATTTTCTCTCGTGTATATCTTTTTCTTGCTATTCCTGCATTTTATTCTTTGCTATAATAAATCTCAAGCCATAAATATAACTTTATGTTGAATTGTATGAGTTCTTGTAAGTAAATCACCAAACTAGTGGGTGGTTATGAGGCCCTTGGAACACATCTTCTCGCTCTAACTTCCAAAAAGAATAAATGTCTTACAAGAGATCTAATGGCACTTAGGTCAAGAAAGGCTATTAAACTTTAAATAGACCAGATTGCATAACACTAGGCAAACTATTTGGATAGCCTACATATCTGAATGAGTAGTGCCTTGATCACCTTTAGCTATATAAAAAAGAAAATCATTAATAGATAAATTCACTTACTTGGCTTAGGAGGGGACTGGGTTATTTGAGTTATTCAAATATTCTCATTAACCATACTTTGAAAGAATTAGAATACACTAAAATCAACACGAGATTAAAAGATTTTTTAAATTTTTATTTTAAAAAGTATTTAGCCTACATCATGCTTTGGAAGAAAAAAAATATTGACTGTAGTTTACTCCCCGAGATGGCTGAGAAAATGTCAACTTTGTTACAGTGCTGAACGCAGGCTTGACATGTAGAAGACACTCATTTATGAATAAGGAAAATATAACTTAGCTATTCTCTGGGAGATTTTAAAGTCCTTCCATACCTAGGTTTATTTTCCTGAATATCAACTATTGTTGCTTTATAATTGCCGGGTTGTGTTTAAAGTTATCAGAATCCACCTTTTAGTTAATATCCAGGAAGCTGAAATTCTTATTTTATCTCCCCATTACTCTTATAAGGAAGGTAAAGTAAGTACTATTATTTCCTTTTTACAGAAATTAAAACAAAGGCACAGATTGGCTTAGCTAATTAGTTAAAGTTGTATGACCCAGTAATTAGAAGCAAAGGAAGCCTAGAACCCACATCTCCTAACTGAGCAATGCAAGAAATATGTTTAAGTTTTGCATTGTGCAAAATATTTTTTTAATTAAAATTTTTTGGTTGTTTTTGCTCTGAGACAGGGTCTTGCTCTGTTGCCCAGGCTAGAGTCCAGTGGCACGATATCAGTTCACTACAACCTCTGCCTCCCACATTCAAGTGATCCTTCCACCTCAGCCTCCTGAGTAGCTGGGACCACAGGCATAAGCCACCATGCCTGGCTAATTTTTGTATTTTTTGTAGAGACAGGGTTTTGCCATGTTGTCCAGGCTTGTCTTAAACTCTTGGACTCATGTGATCCTGCTGCCTTGGCCTCCCAAAGTGTTGGAATTACAGGCGTGAGCCACCGCACCTCGCCTGTGCAAAATATTAAGCATATATTTATACTCAAAAACATATAAAAGTAGAAATTCCAACATAAATGGATCTTGTTATATTTATTTACATACTATTAATGCTAATAACAATATCATGTCTTTGCATATTACTTTAAAAAATCATTACATTACCTGACATTTACATAGCTCCTTATTTTAATTCCTATATTTGTTCTAACAGAACATGCTACTTTATAACTGCAAAGCATTTCATAGATATTCATTCATCTAATTCTTGCAAAAATCCCAGTGAAGTCAAGTAGGAAAAGCATCATTACTCTTGTTTAAAAATTGGTAGTCGAGGTTTAAAAAATTAAGTGTCTTGAGCAAACGTATAAGGCTCGCAGGTGACAGTGCCAGAACTAGTGGCACCTATGTCATCTGACTCCATATAATACATGAAGACAGACCATATCTAACGGTGACTCCAGTATCGGGACTGATCTCTTAAAAACCTATAAAATAGCCATGAATAATTTAAAAAATAAGGCATGATGTCTGAAAATTAGTTTTCCAAGAGATACTTTAGGAAGTAATGATGAGGACGGGGTCATATTCCTTATTCTTTGCATGAAGTAATTCTCAAGGAACTGGAATGATTTTTCAAAGGCAGTTATTACAACTGACTGGAGGTAGAAGTACATAGTGAGTACTTAAATACAGTTCAGCTCTTTTAATTATTTTTTAATGCTCATTTCAATAATTTTCCAAGGAGATCTGGCATAATCAACGAACCAAAACTTCCACTATTTCTTGCATATTTCTAGGCTAATTTAAGCCCTTTCTGCAGTTTAATTAGCATTCAAATTAAGGAGACATTCCTCAGAGAATAAGGGCTGACAGCATGTGCAAAATAAGATTGAACCAAGCTCTGGTTGTTAGTGTGTGGACTAATTTGGAGAAAGTATGAAAAAACAAGAGCTTCATGTAGAGTGAGGTAACCCCTGGAGAGAGTGCACTTCAAAATTTCAGGGTTTCTGTGTAGGAAGCTATTTCTAAGGCTCATGAGGGCTTTGTGACACTCAAGGGCACCCCAGCAGAAAAGAGCAGTGCTACTTAAAGTGTGGTTCCTGGGTCAGCAGCAGCAGCATCACTAGGAGCTTGTGTAGAGGTGCAAATTCTCAGTTTACTGAGAGTTCTCACTGCAGAAATACATATCAGAGTTTTTGGGAATGAGGTCCTAGAAACTGATGCTTTAACAAGAGCTCTAGGTGATTTCTGCCCTGCCCTAGAGCATCTGAAGAAAACTCCCACTCTTTCAAGCCGCCCAAGCTACCACTCAGTCAATTCCTGGGGATTAGGTAGGTCAGCAAACTTGGCCCCAAATGCCGTCATCTCTTAAATTCTATAGATAACCTCAAATTGAACATATGTTTTTCCTTCTCCTTGCCTTCAATATTTTGTGACAACGATAAGCAAAACAAAGCTGAATTCAGCCACCTGAAGTCCTGTCAAGTAACAGCCTTTCTTCTCTGTCAATATCTACTATCATGCAAATCCCTTCTTAAAGAAATGTGACTTGTCAGTCTAATGTCTCCTCATTTCTACTTTCCACCCATTTATTCCTTTTCCTGCCTCATTTGTCTCCACTGATGTTTTTGTTATTGAGTGATGAATGTGATGTGAAGAAGAAATTAGAAATGAGAAGGTTGCATCTACTCTGCATTTCATACTTTGTTAAACAAATTTGCACTGCTTAGGGGCACAGGTGCTAAAGTTTATGTGAGTTATCACAATTTTCAATCTCTGTTGCTACTGGCCCCAAATGAAAGGACATTTTTTGGTGCATTAAAGTCATGTCATTCCAGTACACCACTGCCCCCAAGGGGTTCTTGGACTGCACTGTGACTTGTATTTCCCATTTTAATAAAACTGATTTCATATCACTAATCTGCCTTATTTTAACTTGGACTAATTTGTGTGGGATTGTATATTCTTGGTTCCCATTTTATCATAATCTCTCTTCCATTTCCTCCCTTCATCTATGAAAGCTCCTTCTCAGTTGCCCTCTCTGACTCTTCTTAATTGATCTCTTCCACGAACACTGGAGCTCTTCAAAGTTAGAGCCAAGGCCCTCTTCTCTGACCTTTCCTTGAGCTTTTGTTGAAGTCTGTTTCCTTTATATTCCAATTCCCAGTAACCCCCAGTTCCATCCTCTCTCATTAGACTGATTTTCACTGTGTACTTGGCATCTCCACCTGATGCCTTGAAGTACCTCATACTCCATTTGACTTCGTCTGTTTCACCACAGCCCATCACTCACTTGCTTCTGTTCCTAGGATATGCCAACCTCCATCTTGCCTCTTGGCTCATGGTTCCAAGTCTTCATAAAAAATACCATCCTGTCCACTTCTTTTTTTGAAACTAAAGAACTATTTATCTTTAGATTTTTTGAGGGTCACTCCTGACAACCTAATAACCTCCCCATCTCCCAACCCTGGATCTAAATTAAGTGTCGTTGCCACTGCATACTCTTCTGGCAACTTCTATTTTCCCTTTATACAACTTAGCACATTTTGGAATTACGCATTGACTTAATTTCACTTGTTTATTGCTTGTCTCTCCCATGAAGCCACTGGTTCTTAGTTTTGGCTGCATTTTAGAATCATATGGGAGCTTTTAAATAATACTGGTATATGGGCTCCATCTAGACCAAATCAATCACTGAGGGGTGGAGCCCAGACGTCTTCATTCAGGTGATTCTGATGTGCACTGTGAATTGAATACCATGGCACTAGAAAGGTAGGACCCTAAAGGACAAGAACCATCTTTTTTTTTTTTGCTCAGTGCCCAGCACTGTTTCTGGCTCATTGTATTGAGAAACATTTCCTGAGTTTTGTGGAATAAATCATTCTAAAATTGTTCTAACATTTGCCTTATTATAGTTCTCTGTACTCCCTCTATAGACACAGTTCCTTCCTTTTTGCCTTAGCTCACACTTCTTTCCTCTACCCAGAACGCCTATTTCCTCTTTCACTTGGTTTACTCCAATTCATTTTTCAAGACTTAGCTCAGACCTTATCTTCTCTAGGAAATCTTACCAGTAACCAGGAAGGACAGGTGCCCCTCCTTTATGTCCTACAACAGCTTGTGCTTTCTTTGACCATAGCATTTAACACATTATTTTGAAATGATAAAAGTGCCTCTCATCTTTATTCGCTTGTGAACTCACCGAGGTCTTGGATCATCTTGCATTTTTTTTAACTACTCATTTTTCTTTTTAAATTTTGATTATTGAGTTTATCTTTGATTTAGTTTCTCACTATATAAATCCCAGGGTCATCATTCCTTTTCTCCCCCTTCAAGTTAGTGATCAGAAATATGCAAAAATATTTATCTGACGGGATGTTTGTTTTATTTATGATAGCAGACATTTGAAAATTGATCCTGATACATCCCTAGACTGAAATATCATGCAGCTTTAAAAAATCATATTGTAGATTACTTAATACATAAAATGTTCATATGATATATTGTTACATGACAAAACATGTTTCAAAACATATGTAAAGTATGATGCCACTTTTATAGCACAAGCTGTATCCATCAGTCAATAGAAAAAGATAGGCCAAAATATATGAAGAGTGGTTATTACTGGATGGTGGAATTTATGTCCTTATGTTTTTATGTGTTTTCTATTTTAAAATAATGAATATGTATTATTTTGTAATCATAAAAAGCACAGTACCGGTTTTTAAAATGTGGCATTGATTATTCACTACTTGGGAGAGCAAAATGAAGGTAACTGATATTTTGCCGAAGACATAAAAAAGGCTGAACCACCTATCGCTTCTAGAACTTTTGCCTCCACTTTAAATATTTGAGATTAATGAGCTGTGACAATTGATAATTAACATTTATACAAAGCAGTTTTTCAGGCTACCCATACTTCTATCCTATAATATGAGTAGTGAAATCCATATTGTCTTATTCCTTTGTGAACTCTGAGGGCGCATTATTGCTGTACAGAGCTATACATCATAATAATTTCTATACTATGGAATTCACCCTGAACAAATTTTGTTTAAACAATGCTCTTGACTTATGTCTGAAATCCTCAAATTCATTTATTAGTTGTGCATTTGAAAAATAGCATACACTCACCTTTTTGCAGACAAAGTCACCAGGCAAATAGAGAATGGATTTCAATCTTAGCAACATGTCATAAATCATCTGTGTATCACAACCCTATATAAAAAGAAAAATAATTCTTATAGAAACAACTAAAAGGCTAATATTCCAAATGAATTCAAAACTCAATGAAAATAAACAGTAATATATATTGTTTGTATTAACATAAAAATATTAACTGCCAATGGCTATGGACTTGTCATGACCCAAAATTTAGAAAAAAAATACCTATAGTATAATGGCAAGGATTTAGATCTTGCTCAGATAGACTTGGGTGTGAATCCTGTCTCTGCTACATATTGCTACATAACCTCTCATGCCTCAGTTTACTAACATGTAAAATGGGGATAAAAATGGTACTTATAACAAAAACTTAATATACTTAATGACAGCTATTAATGGTAATATACTAATAATAGATTGTTAGTATATTAGGACCAACATAGATCAAAATCTTTGCTAGATATTTTTCTTTCTTAAAACATGTTTCATACCATTGTTAGATATTATTATTTAACATTGCAGGCTTGTCTATCTTTCTTCTTCAACTCAATTATCTTCTTAAGGCAGGGAAAATGTACACAATAGATACAAAAGCAGTATCTGTTGGGTGAATGTTTGTATTCACTTTAATAGTGTAAGAAACACTATTTGTTTGGCTATAGGTCTATATTTGTCTTCTGTTTAAATAATTATATCTATAAAAGCTAAAGAAAAATCTTTAGGTGCTACAAAAACTCACATAGCAGTTTTGAATCTTTTGCTTTCAATAAATATATATTTTCTCATTTTCTTGCAGAGCTGCTAACATGTAATAGCTTTCCTCTTGTGGGTGGTCCTGTCCACCCCTTGAGGGAATCATGGTTTTGCTGTGAACTAATTATAGAGTCAGTGGCAGAGAAAGGAGAAGCTAAGGGTCTGCTCTCATTTGTGGATCGGACAATCGTTCCTTTAGCAATCACCAGTTTTCTGTAATAACTTCGGTAACAGACACTTGACCTAGATCCATATGAAATTTAGACTTCAGGGTTGCTTGACTGATAAGGCAAACTAATAATTTATGATTGAAGTATCTCCAAGTAGCCATTGGTGAGAGGTATTCAGATGAATGTAGTGTTAGAATTTTTAAAAATCACTTCAGAAAGTAAAGCTTTTGGTTCTTTAGGACAGAAAAAAAGGCCAAGGCCAGAAGATATATCTTCTTAATACAGTCTAACAAATACTGATGAGAAGCTGTTTTGAGCAAGGCTTTGTATGACAACCTTGGAGGAATTAAAGATGAAAGAAAGTAACTTTAGTTGGGGTGATTTTGTAAGTAAACAGAAAAGCTGTAATTGATGGTAGAAGATAATCATGTCATAAAACATTCCACAAATACACATAAAACTTGTAAGATAAAGAGAGTTAATTTTGCTTGGGAGTGGGATGGGAGAGAGGGGAGGCACCAGAAAAGTGCTCATTTGGGTAATAAAATTTGAATCATTTGAGGATGAGGATGATTTGCATTTGTAAAGATGCACAAAGGCCCTTTTAGGCAGAGGGAAATTTACCTTTTCTTTGCTTGTTATGTATTTGCTTTGCACAAAGTATATACATTTTATTTATATTTGTTTTAGTCCTAGTATGTCTGATAGGTTAGCATATTTGCTAAAGCAAATTACAAACATAACTTTTTCTTTTTTTTTCTAAAAGGCATGGTTCTTTTGTTTTCAGTAAAAATTAAATAAATAGCCCAAGTGCTTAATTTCTTTAAATGCTGTCATCATTTCGGAATAATTTCACTTCAGATATTGGTATTCTGATCCATTTAAAACTCACTTAGAAAAAAGACAAACAAACTTTGGATTGATTTTTGAATCTTCTCCACTAAAGTAAGTTTGTGTCTTTGATATGGTAAAGAAAATCCACTTGAAATATGCTTGGAAGTTCTTGAACATGTACGTGTCTGGAATATTTCTGCAATGAAGGTAACTCTCAATCACTCATATCCGTGGAGAAGATTTACATTGTAAATGATCAGAAATAGAAGATCTCAAAAGATCCACTTATATTTGTTTTTATATAAATAATCTGAAGTTTTGGCACTAATTTTTAAGGTTTTAATTATAATTTGTAAATAAAAAATGACATTTGTATTCCTTGAACAATTCTTATCAGAATGTATTTGATGAAAATTCCCAACTATGTTAAGTTGTATTCATGGGAAATATTAATGATTTTAAATGCTGTTTTCCTGTGGCAGTAATTCTGATTTTATATAAGTATATCTATAATATATAAATTATGTATGTATATATTATGTACATATAATATATAATGGAATATATTATAAAAATATATATAATTTAAATATAATCATATGTAATACATATATTTTAGATGTATAAAATTATATATATAAAATCAGAATTACTGCCACAGTAATCAGAATATAAGTATATACACACACACACACAAATATGTGTGTGTATAGTAAATTCTTATAATTTTATGTTGCCTTGGCACCGATTTTGAATATAAGTTTAACTTTCTCATACTAGAAGCGGAATCAGTCACTCTTGATACGGTTTCCAGTTCTCTGCCTCTTTCCAGTTCCTCAATATGGTTGATCCAGACATCTGCTTTATACCACTGCCTCCTGGTGACCACCGTTCTATGGTACAGCTGGATGCAACTGACTAGAATTGCCCCACTGACCCTCAGAGCCCACATAGATGAGCAGATATTCCACAGTGACTACCTGTCAGTCACAGCAAGACCTCATGGAACTCATGTCTGCTGTAAACCAACCTGTCAGAACTTCCCCTGGGAAACCTCCCTGGGTAACACCTTGGATCCCAAGAAGGCTTTGGCCCATTCTCTCTCTCTCCACTGGTTAAGCACGAGTGTTCCCCCTTCCCATTGGCCCTGTGAGGCGTGCTGCCCTCTTCTCTCTGAGATCTGTAATTAATAAAAATGCTTCTATTATTTCATGGGTTTTGTTGTGCTGCTTCCCCTGTGTCTCGCCTGACTGACATATCCAAACCTAACTTTTTTTCCAGTACAGGGTTTTCCTAGGGAGTGGCTATCTTATAGGAATAAACTGGACACGGATCAGACAAAAGCCACAAGAGCATCAGCCAATATAAATAAATTCCCTGTGGGAGAAATGTCTGTTCATGGTCGACCACCTAGGCATGAGGTCGTCGACTGGGATCAAGAAGTATCCCATGAAAGGCACACTGAGAATAGCCACCACCCATCCTCTGGAGCCCCGTGAGGGCAAGGCTGGAGTGTATGGCCACTCTCCCCAGACAGACCCCAACCCCAAGACCAAATGAAAGGAAATATAACAGTGTGGCAGCACAGTCGGCCTCCGTTTCCATGGACTCCACCTCCACGGATTCAAACAACTGTGGATGGAGAATATTCAGAAGAAAAAAAAAAACAAAATAGCAGTACCACAATAAAAAAATACAAACAAGAAATATGGTTTAACTATTATTTACATAGCATTTACATTGTATTTGGTACTATAAGTAATCTACAGATGAGTTAAAGTATACAGGAGGATGTGGGTAGGTTATTTGCAAATACTACGCCACAGATTTTGGTTTCCTTGGGGGTCCTGGAACCAATCCCCTGTGGATAGCATGGGATAGACTGTATTGTTTTCAATACTGAAAAAATTGGAAACAACATACTGTCAACCTATGGGCAGATAAAATATTGAATATTTGTAGATTGGAATATCGTAAAATGGTTAAAATAAATCACAGATCGGCTGGGTGTGGTGGCTTACACCTGTAATCCCAGATTTTGGAGGCTGAGGAGGGCGGATTGCTTGAGCTCAGGAGTTTGAGACCAGCTTGGCCAACCTGGCGAAACCCCATCTCTACTAAAAATACAAAAATCAGCTGGGCGTGGTGACACGTGCCTGTAATCCCAGCTGCTTGAGAGGCTCAGCTGGGAAGATCGCTAGAACCTGGGAGGCGGGGTTGCAGTGAGCTGAGATTGCACCACTGCTCTCCAGCCTGGGTGACAGAGTAAGACCTTGTCTTAAAAAAATCAATAAATTAATTGGAAAAATAAAGATAAAAATAAAATAAACTATATCTATTTAAATATGATTAAATTCAACCAATAGTGTAGTCTGGATATAGAATATATTCCGTATGATTCCAACTACAAAAATCTAAACACACTACTGCCAGTTTATGTTCATATAACTACAAAGTAAAATGATAAAGATGAGGAGTGGAGGGGCATCCTCAGATGAGGGTCTTCGTGGCCACCTCTAGGGAGGAAGAAAGGAGAATGGGTCTGGGGAGAAGAACAGATGAAACTTCAACTTTCATTTTTATTAATTTTAAATTTTAATAAAATGTCTCCCTTTGCGGAGAAATGTGTTCAGTCTTCTTTCCCCTTTTATTCTTTAGGTGGGCTCAGGGGCAGATAGCACCAGTGAAGGAAATCGGATCAACGGGAAGTATGAGACCAACCTAGGAGATAAGCCTGAACATAGATAAACAAACAGTGAGCACTTTTCTCGGCAGGAATACACACAAGCATCTACATCCATAGCTTTCAGCTGACGGCTTGGATTTCCTCCGAGAAAAACATTTGAACCAATCTAAAGATGACTTTTTATTAACATACTTGGACAGCACATGGGTCAAGTCATGCAAACTGAATCTAGCAGCTGTATATAGTAAAAACTTAGAATTTAAGTTCCACCAATTAAGTGATTCTGTCCCTCAATGATTACTTTAAGAAAAGACGCCACTAGCTTTGGGGCAGCTTTTGTTTAGGACTAAATCCTTCTTATTTGGATTTAGGCCTAGTGAAATAAAGTTTGCATTGTGATGTCATTATATTTTATAATGTGTTTGAGAACTATTATTATTCTCTTTCTTTCTCCAGAAAATGATTATTTTCTTGAGATATACATTGCTTCATTATTGTGTGATTTAAAAAGAATTACATCCTGGGGCAACTTTTTCTCTCGGTAACCCAGCTCCATTTTGTTTAGTTAGGAAATTTTCTGATGTATGAAAAGACAGGATTGCTTTGTAAAT